CGGCGTAATCGGAGCGTTGGTTAAGAATGACTCATCCGATGTCATCAACTTCCTCCTTACCACAGAGATCATTCCCCTTTGCTTACGGATTATGGAGACCGGCTCAGAACTGAGCAAAACTGTCGCAATTTTCATTGTGCAGAAGATTCTCCTCGACGATATCGGTCTCGCGTACATTTGCGCAACCTATGAGAGGTTTTACGCGGTTGGAACTGTTCTGAGTAATATGGTCACTCAACTTGTTGAGCAACAGACAGTACGACTTCTCAAGCATGTAGTGCGCTGCTTCCTTCGGTGAGTCTATCCCAGGTTTCTTCAAATTGCGTTGGTTGATTCGTTTCTACTTCAAATGCTGACTTTTGTAGCCTGAGTGATAACAGCAGGGCGCGAGAGGCGCTGCGTCAATGCCTTCCCGAACCCTTGCGCGATGCGACGTTCTCCTCCGTACTCCGCGACGACGCCGCCACTAAGCGCTGCCTGGCTCAGCTTCTTATCAACCTCTCGGATAATGTCTCCGATGGCGCACCTGGTGTTGCGATGTAAAAAGTTCAAAAGCATTTGTTTTCCTTTTGGTTTACTTGATATATTTGACAACCTTACGATATGCATGGGGCGGGCTTAGGCGAAATACGGAATACAAGGCGCAAACTGTGTGGTATGGCAATGCAATGACGCGATCTCAGGAAAGTTGCACAAAATCAGCAAAGAGAAAAGAGAAGACATGGCGGGTATGGGAGCACTGGACTTGGGGGTTTCTGTCTTGTTATGGTTCGAAAGGTTCTGTTGTTTTGCTAATCATCTGTTCTTTCTTCCCTTCCCTGGCTTTTGCTGCGGCTTTTTCTCTGCTTTCTATCTACCCTTCCCTTTTTTTGTTTTTTGTTTGTCCAACACTTCGTTCCCCTTCGGCCATAATGGTATGGCTGTGCGGTGGCGTGGATACGGCTGGCGCTATTTGTCTGTGTGCATTTTGCTTATCCTCTATGTTCCCCATTCCCCATCCTCCATCTGAGTGAGATAGACCCTCTTTGAGCGAGATACCAAGATCTAGTTTTATGTTTCGTTGGGTGGTGCTGATTCTGTCTGTTGCTTTAAGTTTCATTCTCTCCTGACCTGGTTTCATGCGGAGGCGAACTATTATTACGATAAAACCTTCCCTTCTAGTATTTATTAATATGAGTTTGTATCTTTCATTTGGAATAGAATAATAGTATCCACGAGGCCATGGTAAAATGTGAGCAGTCGGATCGCAACGACAGCGCAAAGGCTTATCGGCACGGGATCGACCCAATCGGCGGATGGAAGTCACCTGACTGGGGTCTCGACGCGCCGCCCGGCGATTCTGTGAGCTCATCTCTTCTGCCCAGCCCGACACGCCCGCCCTGGCGAACGATTTCCTGTCTTCACGCCGCTGTCGATCACGTCAATACCCACTCATTCCGCCATTCGGTAGAGACATCTGTGTTCATTCTTCTGTTGCATATACGTTGCGATAATTACTCCTTCTCAGAACTCCCGCCCCCGCCGCAGATCCGCCGCAGGGGTCGAAACTTGTCCTGCGCCGCGGCGCCTTTAATGGTCTATATCCGCCTTCATGGTTTCGCGAAAGCGCACCCGCTCCGAGGTGGACGCTGCCCCAGAGCAGCCACCTGAGGAGCCGGGTTTACTCCAGCAGCTTCGGAACTGCTGGGAGTTTGCAAGCCTCATGCAATACATTGCCATATTCGGTAAAGTCATGAAGATTGACGAGGATTTCGGGATTGAGGTGAGCAGTGCAAATCCAACACCTATAATTTTCTTTACCTTTAGGCGCGATAGATCAATGCTAATATTCTACTCTGATGCTTTGCTTGTAGGACCTGGAAACTGAGTGTCTAAAGCCTACCCCTTCCGAGAAACTACTAGAGATTGGACTCTGTCTATTGAAATGGGTGTCGTCGCATCGGGGCCTCACGTACGTGCACCTTCGTTCTAGCCGCGACTGTAGCTATGCTAATAGGATGCTTTGTCTGATAGCTTCGATAACTTTGATGAGTATACGCGACGTCAGTACAATGCGAAAGCACCACACATTCCTAACCCTTTCGGGTATGAGGAGGTTCCGAATAGGTTCTTGGACTTCGACGTTTTCTTGAAATTGCGCGTCTTGCACCAGCTGTCTATTTGGACCTTTTGGAATCCCGATCGCATCCGCGAAAAGATGCCGGAGCAGAGGGAATTGGATCAGACGGAGTGGGTGGGTTTTGCGTGACACTACCCCTAGATTCCTATGATATTTACTGACCATTGCTAGCGTATCGAAGAAGTAGGCTACGATCGTGAAGGCCGTTACTACTATATCCTCGATGATAACAGGCTCTATCGCCGCACCGACCCCCCTATTCCGCCGCCAAAACCGGTCAAGTCGAAGTCGAGGAGAAAGAGCGCCCGCGCCATGAGAGCCTCTAAACGAAGACGTGTTACAGGCGCCGATCCTATTGAAGAGTCCGATGATGAAGATAATGCTCTGAACGGCGACGCCTCAGAGGATCCTCTGCAAGCGATGACGTGGGAATGCATTGCCGTTACTCTAGACGATTACAAGCAGTTCCTCGAGTCCATTAGGAAGACAAGGGATCCCAATGAGAAAATACTGAGGGATAGGATCGATGAACAGGTCATGCCCATCATTGAGAAGGAAGAGGAGGCGCAGGAGAGGCAGAAACAGAAGCGCGAGAAGGAGCTTTTCAACATGCAGTTGCTCGCTGGCGCTAAACGATCCAGTCGGATCGCCGGAAAGGCTGAGAAAGAGCGACAGGAGCGTGAGGCTGCTGAAGCAGCACGTAAACGAGAGACGGAACTAGCCGCAGCCCGCAAAGAGGAAGAAAGAGTGAAGAAGCTGGAGGCGGAAAGACGCTCGCGCATCATGACCCGGGAACAGCGTACTAAAGATCGGGAGAGAAAGCGGATATTACATGAAAGTGAGCTCCAACGCATCAAAGAAGAGCAGGAGAAAGTTGCACGGGGCGAGAGCAGAGCTTCCGAGAGACATCTTCAAGCGGAAATGGAAAAGTACCGCAAGAATCTGGAGGACCTCTCGCAGGAAGATCAATGGGTATTCGACTGCTCGGGCTGCGGTGTTCATGGTCAGAATCTGGTAGGTTATGATCAATCCCGGTCATTATGACAACAAGTGTGCTGACCCTCAATAGGATGATGGCTCTCACAGTGTTGCATGCGAGTCCTGTAATGTGTGGCAGCACAGCAAGTGTCTCGGTATCTCGAAAAGCGAGGCTGAACGAGAGGATTTCCACTTCGTTTGCAAGGACTGTAAACGACGCGAAGAGGAAGCGAAGTTGCCCAAACTTCCACCGTTGAAATTCCGCGTCGGGTCGTCGACCTCGCCATCCTCGACTGCGCCAGAAGGAGATACCAAGATCAAGGTTCCAGATCCGGAGCAAAGTCCCATATCGTCTATCAAAAGCGCTCAGCATACCTTCCAGTTGCCTCTTGCAGGGTCTCCTCAAAAGCAACCTTCTTCCATGCCTTCCGTTCCCTCACAAAACCCCCCTCAAGCCGTCTCCTTCCCTCCTTTGTCCCCCGAGCGCCGGCCTCAGTCCGCCCACACCACATCATTCAGCCCTCCTCGAGCCCCTTTCTCTCCATCAAAGGGCTTGAATGGATTCACTCCGTCATCTAGGGAACAGGTTCCAAAATTGCCATCCATCCACCAAGCTATGCATTTACCGCCTCATTCTCGCGAGTCCTTCAACGGCGGGTCGTTTCCGGCGCGGCGACCGTCGTCCTCTCACTCTACGCAGAGTCCCACTCTGCCTTCGCCCATTCAGAACCGGCCGTCTATGTCCCCAACCCAGGGAAACCGGGATGTTGGTCCTCTTGCGGGATTTCCGCCTGTAGCTTCGACAGATCACTCAGCCCCATGGACGCCATACGGTCAACACCAGACCCCTCGTCCAAACACGGGCAATCATTCTTCCTTCTCTTCCTTGCATAACGGGCGTCCATCTTTCATGGCCACTCCGACTGCAAGTCGCTCCTCTCCTCCCCAGAGTTCCCACGGCATGCCTTTTTCGGGTATTAGCCCGACCAAGCAATCACCCCGGCCTATGACATCTGGCAGTGTCACTGGAGCTCCCGTCCTTCCTCCGATCCAGAGACTCGAGCCGAGTCCTAAATTGATGGGTCGTAGCTCGCCCGATGCACCCATTCCGCCGCCGGTCAAATGCATGACACCGGAGCAAGAGGAGCGCAGGCAAAGGGAAAACGCCATGCTGCAGGCCCAGTTGCACGGGACCAATGGCTCGCATTCAGTGATGTCGTCGCCGTCGCTCAATCGTATACCACCTTTAGGGCCTCCTGCGGTTGCACAACAGCCTGCTCCATCTCCTCAGCCCGGACAAAAGTGAAGTATCCTGGCACTTTCTGCTTATGCACACTAGCAGAGCAGCTGGACAACAAATCTTATACCCCTCTCGTTCGACATTGAAGCCGTACATTCACTCGTGATTATGTCCTTCACACGGTAATTGATCATCCTAGAAACTGAGTATGGTTCGGCTGGTTGATCTTGCAGCGCAGTAAGCTTTTAGAGGCGCCAAGGCATGCGTGCAGGTCTTATGTACCTTTTTCCCTTTCTTACCGTCTGTTTCCTCGCAGCGGTCAATACCGGGAAACTAGCTGGTTATCCTGGGTTTTCCGTTGCTCTCTCTCTCCCTAAACTTCGCTCACCCATACATTGCCTTGCGAAGTGCGCACTATGTGGAGAGTGTGCCGGTCTAGCATTCCGCACTGAGGATTTTGCTTTGTTCTTTGCTACCTATTTTGCATGGTTGATATGGTTGGTCTATGCTTCTCTCATGTCTTACTACAAACTTGATATATTGGAAGGGTGGCGTTGCAGGATAATGAGCTATAGAGGGATGGGGTTGGCTATGGATGTGAAGTAGACATTGACTAGATGTAATAAAAGCGAGGCAATTACATTGATGCTCGATACTCGCTGTAGTTGATTACCTGCATTATATGCTGTCGCTACCTATCCCAGCGTGACATGCACCTACTATTACTTCAGTCAAACACTACTCAGCAACTGATGAGAGGTACATTTATGAAAGAACATAAATAAATCACACCCTTCATTACCCACAGCTATCATCAATCCTTTCAATAACAACAACCAGGCATGCACATCAGCAACCACGCTCCAAATACATACCCTAATGAACAGGAAAGAACACCCCAAGCCCAAACCCACCTACAGCAAACAAACCAACACCCATACATAATAAAAAAGCACAAGCACCAGCACAAGCAATACGCCGCACCCGCACAGCAAACAACTACCCCCCAAACCAAGCAAACGCCATGCATGCATTTTCCACAGCCTCATACCTCCCCTGGCGCCAACACGTCTAAGCAATCTAGTACATACTACCTAACTAACTTACTCCGTTTACCCGAAGTGGATCATCACGCTCTAATTTAACTAAAGAACTACTAGTTAGGCCCCCAATTTATGTAACTACTCCGTAGTAGGTAGGTAAGCAGTAAGCACAGCACCGGTAATGTCTCAGATTCCGTCCCCCCCCCCTCCTCCCGCTCTCACCCGTGCGTGCATGCGTGCATGCATAGAACTTACTTAGTAGTTACTAGAGCACATATCACTTTCGGATCTATCACCTGTCAAAGTCTACTCATATTATCCATTTATCTGGTGTGATCATCATCATCATCATCAACCCCATATCGAAACTAACTCAATCAATTGGGTCCAAATATTCCCGAGTTGACAACATGAAACAAGGTTAATGTATAAGGTAGCATCGTGGCGTAGCATGGGGTGTCGCACTGCATGTGAGATTTGAGTAGTGTGGGTATATATTATTTAGGCAAATAGTAGTAAGGCCTCTAATAATTAAGTTAGTAGTAGTGAGTAAAAATTAAAAAAGACGCAGGGTCACATTGGGGTTGCAGGGGGAAAGGGAAAAAAAAAAGGGCCGCGTGGTTTTAATTTGTTTAATTTCGTTTTTAGGTTATTTATATCAACTTACTGGGCTATGCTGTGAGGCTGCTATCTGCGAACCGAACGTTTTAACTAACTTATATCATGGTAGTTTAGTAAGTACTTAGTTAGTACTAGGACTCGGGATGGAGTTGCTGCGGCAGATGGATGGATAAATGAGGATTGACTCGACTCGGGTTTTGGAGTCGGTTAATATGATATTTGGGGTGTTAGAATCCGATGCATACTCTACTCCGTTAGTAGAGGTAAGTATATATTGTGGAGAAGGTAGTAGTGGGATGGCTGGCTGATCGGGTATGAACGGGGTGGTGGTTTTGGGTGGTAAGTAGTAAGTAAGTAGTAAGCAGTGGGATGTTGATTGATTGTCCATCTTTAGGAATGGGGGAGAGTATGTGTGGGATCTTTCTATAAAGTTGGTATATGCATGAATCTATACACATCTCAAGATCTACTTATCGAGCATGTCAAACACATAGCATTCAAGCATATATAGCATTCGAGTAAAGTAAGACACATACAACGATATTGTTGGGGAGGGATTTACCACACAATGGTACTTTGTCGGCTCACTTACCCTTGCTTGCCTTTAACCCTAGCTAGTTTAACAATCTAGCACGTAGTTCAAGAACTAATGACTTAGTTCTCACTTGCTAACCAGGATCCCAGTCCACTACAGTCAGATAAACTAGTATTGTTTAGGGAGTCCTTTCCCAACATCCCTTACCCATGCAGTAGTTCACCTAAGTAGGTATCTCCCTAATCTATCAGTAGTCTCCTGAAAACGTTCGCTAGACTAGTGAGGGACTAATCACCACCGAAAAGAAATAAGAAACTTCTCGACCACGGCGGAATAAACCGATCCACTATACTAGACTAAGTAGTCTCCTTTTTGGATAGATCGTTCGATCAAAAATTGATTGATTGATAGCTTGCGTATTGGAGTGGACTGGACTGGGTGGAATTAATCACATCAACTAGACTACACTCACTTGGACTAGATTGAACGAACATTGCTCAGTCAGCAAACAATCTAGTTACTTTGTAGTTAGTTAGCTTGATATCTCCGTCCTCCGACCGGATCCGGGCCCATGTCCGGATAGTAGTGGGGGGGAGATCGCTCGCTCGCACGGTCTAGACGGTGGCCTTGTCCGTGTCCTTTTCTCCGAGTGAGTGGGTTAAAATAATGGGTGAGGGTACCGTGGATTTGTGATGGTATGTTTGCGTGGTCTGAGAGCCGCATGCTTCCAGAGAAACATCCTTATCTTGGGTTCTCTTTCGTTGGTATGTAGCAAATCCAAAGGTATGCAGCGGGCAGGCACCAAGGTATAATTCAGCATTTTCTCGATAAAAAAAGCAAAAGGGAGAGTATGCGGATATACTGTGTGACTCGAAACGACTTAAGTTGACCAGTCAAATCTCGCCCGAGTCCGAAATATCTCCGCGTGCAGCGCAAATCTTTATAGACGCATCTCAGAAGCAAGCAAACGGTAGGAATGAACAAGGATTGCCTATGACGGTAGGAGATCGGTGAACCGATTGACCGATGGTCATGACAATCTGCCCCGTCAACCTTCGCCGTACAGACACGAACTCGGATAGATCAACCGATATAGTTGTACCTCAAATGCCTCAAAAATGGAAATGTACACACATAAAATCGCATAACTTCTCATATAGATACGAGACCAAGTGTGTGATCATCGATGGAGAACAGCTAGTCATTCTGAGTATGCTTACCTGCATGGAAGGATTCTGACACCTTCTGGCTTAAACACTGGAACCCGATTTTTGCCGTCCACTCAAGGCGCATTGTCGGATGTGAGCGAAACCATAATTAGCATTCCTGGGCTGCGCAGGTGCGCCCTGCTACTCCACTGGAACCGTTCCGGCTGATCTTCTGGTTCGGAGATAGCAACTATACTCGGGTCAACAGCCTGGAAGGAGGTGCCGGTGCCGGTGCCGGTGCCCTCTCGCGTCCACAACTTACACACAGATGCCCGGGAATGGTTAGACTGATACCACTCCTATCTGTTGGCAACTCTGAATAAGGGAAAATAAAAGTGACGGGAGTCTGTTACAAAGCGGGAAATGTTGTAAGCGGCAGGCCGTTGGGTGAGGTACCTCGCTTGTACTTTTGTCGGCGATTGTCCGTGTAGAATAGGCGGGAAGGGTACCTCCTGAGTACTCAGAATGTGTTAGTATATTATTCGTACCAGCAGTCTGATCACTGTAAGGAGTATCGAAAAGAGGTTAGATGGAGGGGCTGATAGGGCAATGTTAGGTTCGGGGGCCCATGTTGCAAACACATGTTGTATGCGAAATTCCAGATGTGTAGGTTGATCTCGGGCATGTTCATCTCTTTCTTCCCTCCCATACCTTATCTCCTCGATTGACTCCGGTGGCTTTTAGTTTGTTGGTTCCTGTTTTGGTAATTGGAGGCGATATGTGTCATGTCTCACCGACTGCATGACACGACGATCCCCGTGGTGTAGGAATTCTCCAGTTGGAAATTTGTAAGGCTGAAATGATAGTCCGCCTATCTACGGAGTACATACTGCTGCTTAGCTAGTCTACCTGTCAGTTTGTTAGATCGCCGATACGGTGGCCATGACAAATTTGAGACGGCTGCCTGACAAGGCTGGCTTCATGCACATCGCTTGGGAGGCTCATTGGATGATTTCCGACAATGTCTCAGATCAGATGGTTTGAACCGGCTAATATGCACGGCTGCCAGGCGTTGGAGTAGTACTATCTTAGGCAGTTGCTTGTGTATGTTACTGGCATGGGTCCCACTGGATTCCCCGATCCGTCTCGCGCCTTGATACTGAGCCGTAGTGGATGCTTGCGAGGGGCAAGTTATGCCTATCGGATTTCCCGGCGGGAGGAAGTGGGTTGAGAACTCTGTGGGAGAGAATTTCTCGTGTTGAACCTCGGTGGAATGCTGATACCACAAAGTAGGTTTAAAAGAGTAATTAATCCCCCTTCTCCTGATAAACTCAATGACACATATTCGTCCTAAGCGCAGAGGGAGGCCATAGCTTACGTCGTAATATCCCCCTGAATGTGGATGGAAATGTTCTCTGTATGGAGCAAGTACCCAGTACCCAGTACTTGCTCCACAAGCCTAGGGTGACTTAGTTCTTACGTACCAGCTACTTTGGAGTTACCGAGCTCGGTTGGCTGGCGGAAGAAGCCTTAGGTGGCGTGACCAACATTCACCTACTAAAGGGAACAGGCCAATGATGGATCGTCATGGTGTGATTTAATGACAGAAAGTTGCTCGTGCTGCCCATCGAGCAATTACTCGATGAGAATTTAGTCGATGATTTTCTTCCCGTCAACCAATGGCGGGCATGTTGGAAGGCAGATCGGTCTGCTTCCCAGGGGCACAGCGGCGGGTGGTTCCCCGCTGGGGGCAGCGCGGAGGCTAAGCTACCGTAATTAGCGGGGGTGCCTATGGGTCCGTGGAACGACGTCAGGAAAGTTAGTGACTTGACTTGCTTTTTACTTGCTTCGTACCACTGAAAGCGGCCCTCGATACCACGCTAGTCCGGATGAGCTCGGTCTAGACTGGGCGCCCAGCAATGACCCTCTTCTCCAAATCCTTTCCCCCCCCCAATCTATGCAATGGGCAGGCAGTGTGTTGCGATTTCTTGAAGGTCATCCATTCGACTTGCTCTGGGTAGTCTGCTGTTAGTGTCACCTGAAAAAAAAATATCCCTCGTCAAATTTTCCAGATCGTCGACGTTTCAACATGTTGAATGAATATTTTCCAAATTCCTTGCCTACTCTGGTTTACTTGAGGTTGGCATTTGCTTGTGCGTATTGTATCCTCCAGTCGAATCCCAACCTTAATTCCTTCGCCTGAATACTTGCATCTTCCATTGTGTCATGTCAAAAGTTAGCTTTATAACCGCGGTGCAGGTCAGCACTGTATCAATTCCTGCTTCTCATTGCGCTCCTCACGAATCCTATGCAGCATTACCTTTGCTCACATGCACAGCTCCTAGCTACTTCGTCGTACGAGATTTCCCGTAGGTTTCCCACCATCGACCAAGGAGACACAGTGTGTACAAAGTGTTGGACTGTGCGAATCTGAGCTATCGTCCCTGGAAGTATGGGGGCAAAATAGGTCGGTATCGGGGCACCCTTTGTTTATGTAGAGTCCATAATAGTCAGGTCTTGGAAAACCCTTTTCCATCTGTGTAACCAACCAGACAGTGATTAGCTAGTGACGTTGACTCGACATTCACTTGTCCTGATGCAGGCTTAGCAATAACTAACACGAGAAACGCCGGTGGCTCAGGCGCTAGACTAGCTGAGTCCTTCTCACTTCGCGTACCCAATACCCATACTGTCGGGTCCTTAACGTGTCGATTATAGGGGCTAAAACTTGCCATTGCCACATCGTGCAGGGAGAACTAAGCGAGTAACCAATGATTGCACATGCTTCTCCGTGGGCAATGGCAGGTCGGTCCGTTAGTGCGACCTAAGACGGGCAGCCTGTTGCGACTCTGGTATCCTCTCTCCCTATAGGAATGCCT